CTGAAAAACATTTTCTGGAAGTTCTGTAAAGATGTAAACAGAAAAAAATCAAGGAAAAAGAAGGTAAATTTCTAAGTTCCATGAAAACACTGCTAGGGAATCAGGCTGAATATCCACCATTACCCATGGTACCTAATCTGGCATTTTGTAGTCATGTACAAAAAATGTCAGATAAGACAGACAAGAAGCCTTTTCTTTGTATTCTCTTTCCTCTGTGCTTTTTGCCACAACATTTTTCATTTCCTCACTATTTCATTTAATCAGGTATAGCCAACAGGGCATTTTTTTTCAAACATATATTGACAGATATTTTGGAGGGAAAAAAAAGGACAAAAATTTTTTTGCCCAAAATAGATTCATCCTTCCTTTATATCTAACTAAAAGTAAATGTAAATTATTTTTTAACAAATAAGGAAGGGAAGAGAACGCACTAGAGCAGCTTGAAGAAACATCAAGTAAAAAACCCAGAGCATGAAGAAATTAAATGAAGGATGTAGCATATGATGCATTTGTAAGTCTTTTTCTGAATTAATTAATTACTTAATTAAGCAATAAGCAATACTACCCATACCTAGTCATGTAAACAGCTGGTCTTGCACTGCTGGGACCAAAACTTGAGAGCCGAACTTGCCAACAATATATCTCAAATGAGCAATTAAACCCTTTGTGCAACAAGTGCCAGGCAGAGGCCTGAACGGCAGAGAGACCCAAACATCCGCTGACACCAGCAATCGCATTTAAGAGCTGTAGTGCTATTGGCGGTGGGCTGGGGAGGTGATGCAATTTCTGTTAAATGCTAAACAAACCCAAGTCGCTGTGTTTTGCAGCGGAGAAGGACCTGTGCAGCGGGAAGCCGGCAGACGGTATGGTGGCCCTGCCGAACGGCACCCTGGCCGTCTTCCGAGGTAGGCCAGCCCCCCCGTCCTCACCCACCCTGGCCCGGCCCCTGCCCCCCAAGCTCCTTCAGTGCTCCGAGGCCTTCACAAAGTGACACCTGGGTTCCCCTTGCCCGGCCCAGCCCAGCCACACCTCAAGGGTGCCCCTGGGGCCCAAGCGGCCTTACCCCATGGCTGCACTGCCTGGGCAGGAGTGAGGGAAGATGGGAAGGGGGATCCTTGTTGCCAGTGCCTTTCTCCCTGCTTTTCACTGTTTGTCCCTCAGTCCACACACATTTCACCATGTCTCCCCCCACCGTGCAGGTCACTACTACTGGCTGCTCAACGGCAGGAGCCCACCGACGACCAGCCCCCGACGGATCAGTGATGGCTGGGGCATCCCGTCCCCCATCGACGCTGTCTTCTCCAGGTGCAACTGCGATGGCAAGACCTTCTTCATCAAGGTGGGGAGCCCTCCCTCCGCTGAGCAAGCGTATGGGGCACGGGAGGCAGGCGAGAGGGTGTGTGGGGCAGATCAGCTTAAAAAAAAGGTGCAGCTTTTCAAATGCAGCGTGGCAGAAGCAGAGCCTTGTGCCGCTCCGGGGCTCAATTGCTCATTTTATAGAAAAAATGGTGTTTTCAAACAGTGTGGTGGGTCCAAAATCTGTGAGTGAAGTTGAGTGTCTCTTACCCAGCCCCTCTCCATCTGCCTTGAGATGGTAGTTACCAGGAAAAACCTTAATTCAGTGGTTTTCCCCCTGTAATTGGCTAGGAGAAAAAGCATTGACAAAATAACTGATAATCGAGTTATATTTACATATAAGCCACACTTCAAAAAAATCCAACTCTTTTAAATACAGGAATTGTATCATGTCTTTACCTTGCCCAAATATGGCCTGCATTTGCTCCTAATACATTTCTGTTCCTGAAATAATATTATGGAATCAGAGGATTGTTTGGGTTGGAAGGGACCTCAAAGATCACCTAGTTCCAAACCCCTGCCATGGCAGGGACACCTCCCACTAGACCAGGTTGCTCAAAGCCCTATCCAACCAGCTCTTGACCACATCCAGGGATGGAGCATCTACAACTTCCTTAGGCAACTTTCTCCAGTGTCTTACCACTCTCAGGGTGAAGAACTTCTTCCTTGTATCTAGTCTAAATCTGCCCTCTCCCAGCTTCCAACCATCACCCCTCGTCCTGTCACTGCAGGCCCTTGTAAAAAGTCCGTCCCCAGCCTTCTTGTAGGCCCCCTTCAGGTACTGGAAGGCTGCTAGGTCTCCCTGGAGCCTTCTCTTTTCCAGGCTGAACAAGCCCAATTCCCTCAGCCTGTCCTCATGGGAAAAGTGTTCCAACCCTCTGACCATCTTGGTAGCCCTCCTCTGGACTCTCTCCAACAGCTCCATGTCTTTCTTGTGTTGGGGACTCCAGACCTGGATGCAGCATTCCAGGTGGGGCAGAGTAGAGAGGCAGAATCACCTCCCTTGACCTGCTGGCCACGTATCTTTTGATGCAGCCCAGGATACAGTTGGCTTTCTGAGCTGCGAGCACACATTCCTGGCTCATGTTCATCTTACCATCCACCAGCATGCTCAAGTCCTTCTCCTCAGGACTGCTCTCAATCCACTCGTTGCCCAACCTCTATCTGTGCTCGGGCTTGCCCCAAGCTAAGTGCAGGACCTTACACTTAGCTTTGTTAAACTTTATGAGGTTGGCGCAGTCCACCTCTCCAGCCTGTCCAGGTCCCTCTGGATGGTATCCCTTCCCTCTAGCGTGTCGACCTCACCACACAGCTTGGTGTCTTCGTCAAACTTGCTGAGGGTGCATTTGATGCCACTGTCCATGTCACCAACAAACATGGGAAATAGCATCGGTCCCAGTACCGATCCCTGAGGAACACC